CAGATCGAATCTCGTAACAATGCAAAAGGAGTTACCGCCACCGCGCAAGGCCCAGAAGATATCAGCGTAGGCATTTGTAGCTGTTACTTCGATGATGCGACCGCTAGCCAAAACACACTTATTCCCGTCAGCAATATGGAAAAGAAAAATGAGAGTGATAGAACTTACCTGATACCCAACCACATTATCCGACGCAAACCCATACTCGGAGGCAAAAAACGATATCCCCCCTCCAAGCAACAAGCCCGGCACCCCAACATGCCCCACGCGACCCCCCACAGCCGCAAGCCCAAACGGCTGGAGATATGCATATACATCTCTCCAACGATTTCCCGGACCAACAGATACAATAGATTGATCATACGATAACGCCAACCCCGTCAAATTGGACAATGCCACCAACACACCAGCCCCATCTATACCATTTGACCCGGGAATCGGCATATGCCCCCCTCCACGCACCGCCACCTTCGCCTGCGTGAGCGTCACAGTAGCAACTGCGTACGAGACTTGGTCTGCATTTTGGGGTACAAAGACACAGGATGGGGTGCTGTAGGTGGTTGCTGACCAATATGCTACATATGTATGCCGTCAGTAAAAGACATGCTTATGGGTGACATTTTCACGAAGGAAGAGGAAATGGAGACGTACGCGAATGCGTTTCGTATGCGTAGCCTTGTGTGCCAGGGAGAAAAGTGTGCTCCGGAAACCGGTGTTTTAAACGGGAGCACGCTGCATTTGCACTGCTTGGTGGGTTTTCTGCTGCTGATGGTGCGGCGAGGAGGAACGTTGTGAGGACAGGGAAGATGAGCATTTTGGAAGCCTTCGTTGCGTTGCTTAGACTATGAGAGGTTGAGGGGCCCCCTTTAGGTTTTTTTGAGCCAGCGACTCTGAGGGGGTTTTGTTTGTTATTTTCGACTGGGTGGCTCGTTACCTGCCTAATATGTGGTGGGATGACGGCAGAGCATAAGGTTTTGGGCCAATCCGCTCAGTCCCGGGTAATGTAGGCTGACCTGGTGGAGCCTAGCATGTTCGGAATGTGTGGAGAACTTTTTGAGCATAGGATTGAAGCGTAGGGTTCTATACGAGAGCTTTTGTTTCTATGAATAATCGAGTTGATTCAGCGCTTCATCTATTTCAAAAAGTCTTATGGTAAAGCATGCTCTCTGGCTAGTATATGTGGATCTCATGATAAAGAGTCACTCCTATTTGAGAAAGATATTTTGTGTACGCAGTTGGATTTTTAAACAGATTATGACGGTTACATGTCTGAACTTTTTTTTTAGCACTACGAAATTACGGGGAACTATGTACATCAGGTTGAGATGGATACAGCGGGGATAGCCACGGAAGAACAGACTTGAGATTGTTCCTTGTGGGATTTGGACGGCGAAGGAACAACTTGCCGTTTTGTGTATGCATGCAGTGTAGTAGCGCATGCTCTTTCTCAATAGAGACTTCTCTCTTACGTACACCACTTTGAACACTAGATGACGATGTCCCTTCCGTCTGGTATCTTGCAAAATTTAGCTGAGAACGATACTCCAAACCACACAATCACTTATATTCAATGAGCTAGTCAACTCAGACCATTGGCCTTCCGAGGCGCGTATCATAGCTGAAAACATGCTACTTGATACAGAGCAGTCTACATTCAGTCCTGGGTATGTGCCGCAGATATGGGAAGGAGCGCCGGACGGAGTCTCGCAAAGGCAAACCATACCAACAATGCCACCAATGTCTCAACGAGAATTGCGAATCGAAAAACTCCAATACCCAGACCTTGCACCACGGCACCGATGGCAAAGGGCAAAACCGCGCCTCCAATTTGACCCAGAGATGCAACAAAGGAGACAGCTGCGACGTGTAGCTCTGCTGGCAACAATCTCGTCAACACCACAACTCCAGAGGGAAACAACGGACCGTGAACGAAGCCAGTTGCCGTCATGAAAATTATAGAGGCCTCCAGAGATGTGAAAGCTGCAAACAGAGCTTCAAAAACGATAGCAGAGAGGAAGTAAAGGGTGGTCGCGCGTCGTACACCCATCCTATCCGTGGCGAATCCCAGAACTAACCGCCCAATAGCCATACCTATCCAGTAGCCCGAGGAAGAGAGACCAGCTATATAATCACTCGCATGTCGCTCACGAAGCATGAATGAAACTACCCACCCAGAGATGGAAGTTTCTACGCCAACGTAGGTGAGGAAGAAGGCTGCACAGAGCCAAGTAGCTGGGTGCTTGAATATTTCTCTGAGGTCAACCTTGGAGTCAGACAACTTTGACTGCTTGCTCTGGCGGTAGACAGATGCGCTCTCGTGTAAGAAAGCAGCGACCTGGACTATGAATGACAATGCGCACGCTCCAGCCTTCACCCAGTTAGTATATTATCGAAAACATCTCATAGTCCACTTACCAGAATCGAATACCAAGTCCACCAATCCCGATGCCTAGCAGTCAACATAGTCAAGAGCAGAGGACCCAATGCCGCACCAACAGAATAACTCCCATGCAACAACCCAGAAATCGTATTCGCCTTCTTCATGCTCCCCGCCCACGCGCACCAACTCCCATCGAGCAATCCAGTCCCCAGACCCTGAAACGCAAACGCTACCAGTATCACCCCGAAGCCCGGATGCGCTGCTACCATGGCAGTGGCAGCGACTTGCAGGAGGGGCCCCGCAAAAGCGATACCCCGCTGCCCAAACCGGTAGTGTACGGCATCACTGAATTGCGCGGCGAATACGTATCCAATGGGTCCAGCCAGAAATATAGAAGACACTTGGATGTCGCTGAGGTTGTAGTATTGCGACAGCAAAGGGAGGACAGCACCAATGGATGAGTTGAATAACCCGAGTGTGGCGAATGAGTACATTGCCGCTGCGATCTTGAAGATTGACCGCATATTCATTGTTTCGGGCTCTTCCTGTGAGCCTCCTTGGTCTGCAGCAACAGACGTCCTACTACTATCATCGCCAAGCAGAGGTGAGGCCTCGTTCGACCCAGATGGATGCGCCATATTTTGTTGCAAATGTAAACGCGTCGCGAACACGGTTTTTGGTAGATCAAGGTGCGTAAGTGATCACAGTGTCATTTCTCGCAGCTGTACTCTGACTCAGCAAGTTTTCAAATCGGGAAGGAGTCTTGGTTTAGATGGCTAGTGACGGGTTGAGATGGTACTTGGGGCTGTGTCGTTGCATCAGTATCGCTGCGAATAGATACGTACTACGAAGGAGGCAAGTAAGCACGGCCGAGAACATCCCTGTCGTGACATCATGGCCAAAGCGTCTTAGGTGGGTAAAGGAATTGTTTTTTTTTGCAACAACGGTTTGGGAGAGTTGAATGGGGAATAGATTTCTAAATGGGAAGTTGGATTATCATGCATGGTAGGATGCTTTTGGATGTTGTGTGCGAGAGACCTGGTATGGAGCCTTGGAATCAACACGCCGCCAGCCCTTTTGTATTGGTTGCAAGACCAACACATCTATTGCACCTGATGATTGTGAATTTCCCAAAGACCGAGCAGATTTACCAGAAAGTAAGAATAAGTACACGAGTGGTACATTTGCTTCTAGAAACTTTGCTCCCATGAGCCACATCAGCGTCATGGAAATACATACCAAGTATGTACTTTAGCCGGGCTATTACCCATCTAGCTGCTTTTGCGTAAACCAACTGCATTTCGACTTGAATGTATTCTTGTCAATCTCCCGATCTGGCATTTGTATGTGTTTTCTTCTCGAAAACCACACTGTCTTGTTGATTTGCTTTTCCATTGCCAGCTATACGGTTCTCAAGAGGGCGACATTGGAAATGTAGCAACTCCAAATAGGACGACTGGAATGAGCTCCATATTTTGTTGATACTAGAAGCCCAAACTTACAGCACAGCTGACAGAGGAACTAGTCCTCATCGTCGGAAGAGGTGTAGCCCAGCCCGAGTGAAAGTGCATTTCCTGTCTTGGACGCAGACGCATTTGTTGAGGGCTGTACATTGGCGACAGGTAGTTTTGCGGAACTTGTGGTGTTGACCTTGGTATTTGCCTGGGAAGGAATGTTTGTTGATTTTTGCTGGGTTGTCTCTGTCGTCGATTGTGATTTCTCAGCAGGCTTCTGCTCCTCTGGGACGGAACTCGATTTCCTCAGCTTCACGCCCTTGAGTAGTCCGGTTTCAGGCCCCTTCTTCCTCTTCTTTCCAGCAACTGCCCACTGGTCGGCACCATGCTCCTGTGTCGGCTCTGCACTCTCCTCCTCAAGCCCACGCGCCTTTCTCTCCGCCTCTTCACGCTGCCGTCGGAATAGATCCAGCTGCTCAGTAGTTTCTTTCTTGACGTTGGCTTCTTCCAGGCGCTTCTTCTCAAGGATTGAATCCAGATAGTCGGCTTCCTCGTCGTCAAGGGCGACATGGAGCTTGTAGCGCGCTTTCTCCTCAAACTCGGCTTGCTTCTTGTCCTTGTTGGCCTGCAAGACTTCGTACAGACTCTTGCCGTCGTGCTGCTTTGCTAGCTCGGCTTTGGCACGTCTGGCATCTTCAATTTCCTGCTGCGCTCTTTTCCACTCATCGTCGCGTTGCACTTCCTCCCCGGCATTGCCACCACTGACGAACCCTGAAGACATTCCGATCCACACGCATATGGCTAGCGCAGGTTGTTGAGAGCGGCGCAGTGGTTCCTCAAACCCACAGATTTGGTGTCGGGACAGCGAGGCTGGAAAGGATACCGCATTCGCACTAGCGCCAACGAGTGGTTCCCCACCAGCTTTGCTCCATCCGCGGACAAGTCAGGCGCTGATACGTGGAGCATTTATGCCGGTGCTTATTTGTGCTCGGGACATGCCCTTGCAAGGTGGATGAATGTTGAGACTGACGTAGGAGGGGTGTTACACGACGCGTTGCCCCTCCACTTGCGCCGCCATTCAAAAGATTTCACTTTCTTCCAATTCCCATCCTTCCTACACTACAAACTTTACATTTCCCAATCTTATGCTCCGTACTCTAGCAAGAATGGCACCCAAGAACTGGACAAAGGAGAGCTTTACGGTAAGTGCATCTGTAACCCCCACCCGCATCAGCCATACCAGAGAATGTATCTTCTCTAGACATCGCAATCGCCCTACGATTGGGTTGAAGAGCTGAAGTCATTCAACCTCTCACCTATGCATGAGCCAATGCCAGTCAAACAGAAACTAATTGGTTACAGCTCAACACTGGCGCAAAGATTCCTGCTGTTGGCCTCGGAACCTGGCAGTCAAAGCCTGGTGAGGTCCGTGAAGCTGTCAAGGCTGCTCTCCAGGGCGGCTACCGTCACATTGACACTGCACTTGCATATGGCAACGAGAAGGAAGTCGGCCAGGGTATCAAGGACTCTGGTGTTCCCCGTGAGGAGATCTGGGTCACCACCAAGCTCGACAACCCATGGCACAAGCGCGTCGAAGAAGGCATCAACAGCTCGCTGAGCAGCCTTGGCCTCGACTACGTCGATCTCTACCTCATGGTATGTTTATTCCTGTGCAATCACGGTTTCCAATAAGGTAAAATGCTAACAACTCATAGCACTGGCCCTCGTCGACCGACCCAGATGACCTGAAGAAGCACTACCCCGACTGGGACTTCAAGGACACCTGGGCTGAGATGCAGAAGCTGCCTGAATCTGGCCGCGTGAAGAACATCGGTGTCTCCAACTTCGCTATCAAGAATCTCGAGAAGCTCTTCGCCGACTCCCGGTTCAAGATCACGCCTGCTGTTAACCAGATCGAGCTCCACCCCAACAACCCCTCGTAAGCTACACTCACTCACATCATATAATGATACAAAGACTGACAACTGATGCAGGCCCAAGCTCCTCGACTACTGCAAGGAGAAGGGCATCCACTGCACCGCCTACTCATGCCTTGGCTCCACCGACTCTCCTCTGTACAAGAACGAGAAGCTCAAGAAGCTTGCCGAGAGCAAAGGAAAGTCTGTCCAGCAGGTCCTGCTGATGTGGGGTCTCCAGCGCGGCACCAGCGTCATCCCCAAGTCTGTCACAGCATCTCGCATCATGGGCAACTTTGAGCTTGATGGCTGGGAGTTGACCGATGAGGAGATGAAGGAGATTAGCTCGCTGCCTGAGCGCTTCAAGGTTTGCGGAGACGCCTGGCTGCCCGTCAAGGTGTTCTTTGGCGACGACGAGTAGGTCTGTTGAATTTTGCCAGAGGGTTTAGAGTACAATGATACCATGAATACATAGAGAATTGAGAATAAGAATAAGACATATGGACACGTGACCAGTGGAGCGTGACACATTGTGCAGTGTTGTTGTGTAGTGCCAGGCAAAGCCGTGGAAGCCTGGCGTGTGGCAATTTCTTCGGGTCATGTGAGTGCGCGTTCAGCGCTAGTGAGACGCGACGACATTCCGTGCCCGCTCGCCACTCGTCCTTCCCTTTCAAGCATTTAGACTTGCACGTTCACACAATTTCACAACTTGGATTCTTCCACTTGCCACTACATTTCTGAAATACCTATACTCGACAACTTGCCAAGATGAGCAACGAAGAGGAGCAGTATGACGACAGCACGATGGGCGGCCCTGGTGCCCCAACGCCCGTTTCTGCGCTTGAGGTAGGCCCCAAATCATTCTTCGTACCTTGGTGGATGCTGACAGTAATTCAGGGTGTCAATGGACTCACGGCACGCGATATCAAACTAGTAGTCGAGGGAGGTTTCAACACAGTGGAATCCATTGCTTACACGTACGTTGGGCACTGTGTCACATCCTGCTCCGCCACTAACGCTTACCAGGCCGCGACGAACGCTCGAACAGATCAAGGGTATATCAGAACAAAAGGCGTCCAAGTTACTAGCTGAGGGTATGGCTCAAAGTACCGCCTCAGGTACCTGTTGCTAACGGATTCAGCGTCGAAACTTGTACCTATGGGCTTTACCACCGCCACGGAGATGCATTCGCGCAGAAGCGAACTAATATCCATTACAACCGGATCGAAGCAGCTGGACACTCTCCTTGCAGGAGGCATTGAGACGGGCTCCATCACAGAGATATTTGGCGAATTCCGAACAGGGAAAAGTCAGATCTGCCACACTCTGGCTGTCACCTGCCAGTTGCCTTTCGATATGGGAGGCGGAGAAGGCAAATGTCTATACATTGACACCGAGGGCACTTTCCGACCAGTCCGATGTTTGGCCGTTGCAAATCGGTTCGGACTTTCGGGCGAAGAGGTTCTCGACAACGTTGCGTATGCTCGCGCATACAACTCTGACCATCAGCTGGAGCTCCTCAACCAGGCCGCGCAAATGATGACCGAGACACGCTTTTCGTTGCTGGTCGTCGACTCTGCCACCGCATTATATCGTACAGACTTTGCAGGACGTGGAGAGCTCTCTGCAAGACAAACGCACTTGGCCAAGTTCATGCGCACCTTACAACGGCTTGCGGACGAGTTTGGAATCGCCGTCATCATCACGAACCAAGTCGTTGCGCAGGTCGACGGTGGGCCAAGCGCCATGTTTAACCCAGACCCAAAGAAGCCTATTGGAGGAAACATTATTGCACACGCAAGTACGACCCGTCTCAGCTTGAGGAAGGGTAGAGGAGAGACGCGTGTCTGCAAGATCTATGACAGCCCGTGTTTGCCTGAGAGCGATTGCTTGTTTGCCATCAATGAGGACGGTATCGGTGACCCCAAGGAGAAGGATTTGGAGGAGAGGAACAACAGGTGATGAGGGGTTGGTGGTTTTGGGGCGGAAGACGATTGGACGATGGTGATTTAAGTAATTGCGGTTTGCGTTCAACGATTTATGCTCATGCAATATTATGATATCCTTAATGTTTTAAAATCGTTGACAATTCCAAGTGAAGGCATTGGTGAGTTTACAGGGGTTCTTTTTTGCAGATGCAGCCATTACTTATAGTATATTACGAGTAGTGTTGTGGATGATCTGTGGCCAGGAACAAGCCGCTCCCAGGAAGGGCCGTGCGCCAGCAGCTTTCCTCGCGCATTCCCATCGCGACCACTGTTTTTGTGAGCTCCACCTCCGCGCCGACTGCCGCAACCCACACCAACCACACACCGTACCCTCCAGCTCGCCGCCATAGTAATCGCAGAATCTTCGCATGCGAGCATAATGTCACAGAACGGAGGCACATGTCTCTACAAAGAGGCGCGATTGAACATTGAGCCCGCCTTCCCTGGGTCAACAATCGCATTCACCATCCCAGCATACTCTCCTTTCGCCGGCCGCTCTAGCATAAAGCGTAGTGTTATCACCGAGCAGTATGTCGACAAGGACGAAGACGCCTTTACTAGGCGCCATTTAGCAACAGATGGATCCATGTACTTTCGGCGGCATCATGGCTACCCACGAAGCTTTCTTTGGCGCGTGCTGGATAACAGAAAGATGCTGGAAATACAGTCAACAGATTTAGACCACGACTCTACCGACAAGTTTGAGGCCACCCTCACGCTTCTTTTCCAGTTCCCTGCGCCAATCCGCCCTTTCTGCGTCGCTTTCGCAGAGCCCGGCGACCGAGACGCCTTGACCATTTTTGCAATCACCACCGCCAATGAGCTTTACACAATCACGCTACATCGCGACTTCTTTGCTACCCCCGCGGCTTCAGAGCAGGACCCAGAGACTTGGTGCAAGAGAGTCGAGCCGGCACTCTTCAGCGGGCGCATACCCTTCAGGCTCGTCGCTGAAAGCGCTGATGAATTGCTAGTCACTCTAGACGATGGAGCCATCTGCCGCTTAGTGTGGGACAAGGCCAACGCCACCTGGGATGGATCGCGATATCAGCAGAACAACTGGTCGGTGCGCGGCCTTCTGTCTTGGAAAGCGCAACCCACTGTCCGGTTCGAGAATGCGGAATTCGCTACATCTGCTGCTGCTGCTGTGGCCATATCGCCCGAGAAGAACCATATTCTTTCGGTCTGCTTAGATCACACCATACGCGCATGGAATATTGCATCAGGGAAGCCAGGCGCTCATATGGATCTCTTGGGCGCCGATGAAATGTCTTTGGAGAAGTCGCATACCTCATACTCCATTGGGCCCTCGCAGTCGATGCTAATGCAGGTTGTAGAAGTAATCGGCGGAATTGGAGGCGCTGATTACCATATCGTTACGTATTCGCCGAAGCAGCACCAGTTCAAGTTTTGGGGCGTCAGAGACGCAGATGACGCAGAGTTGGGTTTCTACGATGCTGCCGAGGACTCGGATTTCATTCCCCCGATCGACGAGCTCATGAAGACGACTGTTTGGACGCTGGAAGAATTTCACATTGTCCCCGGACCCACTGGATGGAGAGGCTCAGAAATTTGGATCCGCGCAAGATCTGGACCGAGCAGCAAAATTTATTCTTTGAAGTTCGATCTCACCGATACGCCAGAAGCACGAACCCAGGCCTGGAAGAACGATTGGGTTTGTGTGGAATCCGGTCCCTTGACTGTCGATGCATTGAGGGCTCACCCTGCCAACCCGAGTGAGCGGGACGATGTCATTGATCATGATGATCTTGACTCCACTGAGAAGTGGCTCGACTTCCTATTCTACCCGGGCAGATTTACCACCGCAACACTGGAAACTTCGTTGTATATTTACAAAAGAGGGCTCGAACAAGGCCGGCCAGGTCGATCATCCAGTAGGGGCTCGCTCAAAGAACGCCTGTGCGCTGCCGTCACTGCTCTCGCTGTGAACGGAAGCCGTGAGTCGGACGAAATTGAGGATGCTGTAGCTGCGCAATGGCAAGCGTACTACAGCCTTGTAAAGGATCTGCACAAGCGTAGAGGAGAATCTCTTTCACTTGTGTATGACCGGGATTTGGGTAGGCCATGGCTTGTCCTAAGTGACTACGTGTCTGCGATACGAACTTGTAGCGAATCTGAGATCACCAAGCTAAACGCCAGCGTCATCTCTAGCTCACGCACGCTGAGCAAACCACTCCACAAGACGTTGGACACTTCTGAGTCACGGGACGTTGCGCGGCTACTGAATGCGGCAGCATCCTTTAGACAGCGGCTGCCGTCGTTTGTTCAGCACGAGGTGCGAAGACATTTGGAGATGGACATACTTCAGAGCCGCAACATTACCATCCTTGATCGGATGGAATGGATCGAAGCCAACAGTGAACTTTCACAGCAAGTATCTGACGAAGATGTCACCATGCTTGTCGAAGAACTCGGTATGGAGGTCAAGGATCTCGGTACTGAGACATTCCTCCGAGCCATCAAGATACTAGGTTATGAGGAAGACGGCAAGCCCCGGCCAAGGAAGCAGATTGCACGGTATGGATTGAGCGCCTTGACGAGAGTTTCTCAAGAAACCCTAGAAGGTGATCGAGATGTCTTGTTGGACCTGCTTGTTCTCCTGCTATTCATGTTCATTGAGCTAGAAGGAGAAAGCCTTGAGGACTTTGATGCGCCAGAGGTCTTTGCCGAGCTGATTCTCCGTTACAAGGATTGCTTGGTGGTATCATGGCTAGCTGGTACGGTTTGGGCTCACCAGAGCGCAACGGGGCTAGCATCAGAAAACGTAAACCGGGCACTGAGCGAGACGCTGAAGGTGGGCAAGAAGCTGCCTATCACGCAAACAGTTCTCGAAGGCGCTTATGGTGGACGTGCGTTCGAAGTACCGTTACCGAAGGACCTGAAGGCTGATTTACTTACGAAATGGAGCCGGGGTTGGCTCACATCGATCTTCGAGGAGCACGAGTACGAGGCCGTGGTAGAAGATATCATGGGCATTCTACTGGCACAAAGAGAGTATGAACTCGCCATGGACTTTTCCAAATTCCTTATCGAAGGTTATTGGGCGTCTTACATGAGAGGTCGGCTGTACATTGCCTTGGGAGACAATGCGACTGCATCAATGTGCTTCCAGAAGCCTGCGTACACTTTGGGTAAGAGTCAAATGGAGCCATACTGGAATGATGCTAACTCTTGCAGCTCTCGGTGCCATGTTCGATGTGGCGGAACAAGACACAATGGGCCTGGTGTCTGAAGTAGAGCGAAACTCGTTCTCCGAAGGTCTCGGCCATTACTACAATCACGTTGTTGGTCTGTTTGAGAGAGCCAAGGCGTATTCGTACGTTGCGGACTTTGCCAAACTTGGCCTCCGGTCGTTGCTGGGCCAAGAGGATGAGGGGCTCAAGACTGAGCTCCTTCAGCGGTTATTCACCGCATCCATACAGACGTGTAGGTTTCAAGACGCATACACAGCCATGATTAGGCATAGTGATGCAGCTTTGTAAGTTGATACATGGACACGCCGATTGAACAAGGACTAATGCTAGCGTAGGAAACAATCCGACCTACAGACTTTGATCACGACTATGGTTGCCCAGTCACGCACTACGGAACTACTAAAGTTTCCATTTGTGGGACTGGCAGATACCGTGGACAACATTCTGACGTCACTTTGCCAGAAGACGCTCAACATCGCCTCAGGGCCTCCTTACCATCAGATTCTGTATTCTTTCCGTATCTCGCGAAACAACTTCCGGGGCGCGGCATCAATCCTTCATGAGCGACTACAACGACTGAAGACGACTTCGTCAAAGGTGCATGACCCAGCGGATGAATCGCTAGCACAATGCTACCTCATGATTATCAACACACTGTCGTCGGTCAGCAAAGAAGATGCATACATCCTGGCCGAGCAACGCATTGAAGGAACCGGGGGCCCGCCGCAATGGGGTATTGGCCAGGGCAAGAAGTTGCTTAAGAGGCAGATTATCACGCTGGATACGCTCAGGAAGGAGTACCAGGCTGAGCTTGACCGTGTTGCGGCGATTGAGAGTGGGCAGTTCCCGTTTGTGGACCCGAGCGAGGACATGGATATCTTGTAGTAGCAGGTGCATGGGTTTGCGAGGTTTCAGCGCGGCGTTCATAGGAGGGGATTGCGAATATATGGGTTAATGCCACGGCCACAGCCACAGGAAAAGGTGTGTTTCTGGTAGGCAACAGGGACATGAAGATAATGTACAGCAGCACATGATTGAAATGATTTGGCTGCATGAGGCAAAGGCTGTGTGTGAAATTGCGCCATGTCCATTTAATGGCGTCGTTTCTTTGCGTAGTGCTCTTTGTGGTGAATGGAAAGGAGAGAACACCAAAGTCGCGCGCTAGTACAAAGCAATGCGGGGCGTCGCGACTCGTATGCGCCGCAACTGCACAAAGCTGACACCGGTTGCTAGAGCGCCAGCGCCGTGTGGTTCATGTACGATAGACGTTGATAGTCTTGCCTGTTCATCTCGAAGTACACGTGCACACATGCCGCGTCGTTGAACCAGTGCTCGCCGCCATGGTCAGAATCCTACGTACAGTCAAGACGCGTTTACACCCATTGACATTACTACGCAGAACTCAAAGTCCCTGCGTCGTCTCGCCGCCGACCACGGCTCTCTGCATACGGCTGGCCTCCCGCCTAATTACCTGTTTGCACCCGAATCAGACGACGCTGCAGACCTCACGTCCCTCGACGTCCTCCTCGCTGGCCCCGTTGGCACCCCCTACGCAGGCGGTGTATGGCGATTGCACCTCGACATCCCACCCACCTATCCTGCCGCCCCGCCCACGGCACAATTCAGGACCCGACTATGGCACCCCAACATCGACGAGGCGACTGGTGCCGTCTGTGTGGAGACGCTGAAGCGTGACTGGAGCAGCACGCTCAAACTCCGAGACGTACTGGTGACGATATCATGTCTCCTCATCCAGCCCAACCCGGCCAGTGCATTGAACGAAGCGGCGGGCAAACTAGCCGTCGAGGACTGGGACGGATACTGTAGGCGAGCAAAGCTCATGACTGAGATTCATGCCGCCATCCCCAGCAGTATCGCCAAGGAAGTCAGAGAAGCCCAAATGCGAGGCGAAGAGCAGGCGACTGAGCCTGAGTCGCAGTCTGAGCTCCAGCCCCAGCCTACAGCAAAACCTCACTCAAAAGGAAAAGAAAAGGAACGAGTCAAGATCACACCGGCTGGACCCAGGTTACAACGGCGACCATCCGAGGACGAAGAGAACAGGCGACGCAGGGCCGCAACTCACGATGCAGACAGCGACCCAGAAAGCGACTGGATACCCGGCCCCGTCAAGACCAGCAAAGTACCCGGCCGCCAGGAACCCAACATCTTCGGCATCAAAGGCCTCGAAGACACCATGCAACTCGACACACCCCCGAAGCGCATCTTCGCCGCCCAAACCAAAGCCCCCATCTCCAAAGACAAAGGAAAAACCAAAGGCCCCATTGACGATTCCGACCCCTTCATCACCACCGTACCCTCAAAATCATCTTCACGCCCCGTAACACGCTCCTTCGACTTGGCCGCTCCTCCCCTCGCTTTTGCTAGTACGTTACCACCACCACTACCGGCAGTAGACCCGTCAACCAGCAACGACGACGACGACAGCACAGCCACCCTCCTCCTCCGCGATTTCTCCCTCTCATGGCACGACACCTTTGCACTGCACAACAACGATCCCGACGCCAAGAAACGCATTGCAAGCCCAGAGTTCGAAGCAAAATCTAAATGGGAAATCAAGAGGTTCCGCCAGGCAGGATGTGATTTGAAAAAGTTTAATCGCGGCGAGTTTGGCGCCAGGGTTGGCCTGGGCAGGCTTTAGATTGTAATCATGCTTTTTTCCTGTGTAGGTTGCCATAGCGAGGTGTGCATGTGTAAACCGGGGAATTTTTCGCTTATCCGATTGAGCAAATTTGGGCTAAGCGGTAATGTATGTATGTATGTATGTATGTTTGAATGAATGGATAATGATAATGGTGCTGGAGATGAGAAATTTCCCCTTTGAGAGCGATAGAGTATGAGTCCTACGTGCAAATGTTACAATACGGATATTTGATTTGAGATGCGAAATCAGAGGATACTCGGATTCGCGCGTAAATGGAAATAGAGAGACAAGAAGGAAGTTTGTTAAACGTGAGACTACCCAACAGGGAGGGAGAATGGAATTAGATCGGGCTTGATCTATGTAGAGGGAACCAACTATGGAAAATCATGCATACGTGAGGTCCTTTGTGTTGAAGGGACTACGCTGCTCATCCGTACATTGAAATACTAAAAAGAATCCAACGCTAGCCGCCCTTGGTACGATAAATTTAGGAATACAAAAACGATCCTATGCCACTTTTTGCTCATGCGCTGTGCCATTGACAGCGTGAGTTCCATCAACTCCGTTTGTGCAGGTAGTGGTACCATTCGCCCTGTTCTCCTGTGCCTCGCTGGCTTCTTTGATAGAAGGAACAGACTCCGACGGCGGTACAGCCAAAGATGTTGCGTCGTTTTCAATGACATCCGTATTCTCCTGATTAGGAGCCTGGAGTCCCTGGCGGACTCGGAGGACGCTGTCGACGATGACGGCGTCGATACCTTCGTTTCGTTGCAACTATTTCACGTTAATGTGTGTAACCCGAAAACTGTCAATGTGTTTACTTACCAAAACATTCTTGGGGTCGTTGTTGAGCATTCCATAGCTCACGCAGACAAGACCACTTTCCTTGACTACTTTGACAAGTCTAGGGCACATGACGAGCGGTGTAGCGGCGCTGACTACTCCGAGCAAGTTCCAACGACTTGCAAAGCGAATCGCCTCTTGCAAACTTGCAGCTCGCACATCTCCTACTGGTGATGTTCCGGCATCTGTGAGGAACAGAACAGGAATTGAGGGTTGCTTAAAGGATAGCATGAGGCAGATGTCTGGGTTGAAGGATGAGAAGATAATGTTGCGTTCCCCCATTTTATCATAGACCTTTTCCAGGATTGTGTCGACAAAAGAGTTCAGCTCCACCGCATATTGGTCCATTTCCTCCTCTTCCGACTCGTGGAGCATGGGATACTTCATCTCGACATTGAATCCAACGGACTGTGGTACTTCATCAAACATTCGTTCCAGAGTCGTAAACGATGACTGGATGGAATATCCGCGGCTATTTCCCTTAAATCCTTTCTTCTTGAAATCACGGGTATGCTTCATTCGCTCCGTCAGCTCCTCAGCGCGGTCGGTGTGGATATTGCGTTGCTTCGAGTTATCAACCGAGTACGATCTTGGCCTTCTCACATTGGGGCGGTCCTCTTCAGCACCGTTGAGATGAGAAGTTCTATCCGGGGACCCAGTGCGAGCGTAGCGAGGATTCGAGCCTTCGCCAATGTGGAGGAACTGGTCTAGAGTAAGGGTATGTACAGGCGCGTCAATACCTGTCTCGCTGACAAGGAAGTCATGGTAGATGACCGGCACGTGGTCCTTTGTAAGTTGGACATCAAACTCAACATACTCCGCGCCCAGATTAGCAGCTGAAATGAAGGATTGAATGGTGTTCTCGCCGAGTTGAAGTGATGTACGAGATGCCGTGTTCTTGCCCAGACCACGATGGCCAATGACCATGGTCGATGAAGCCATCTTCTTCCAGTAGGTGTGCTGCTCTGTGATCGACATGTTTGGATGATGGAAGGGTGTGATGATGAGAAAGTTGAAGTTGACTGTTCCAATAACGTCCAATGTCGAGGCTGCCACAATAGGTACCTTCATATCTCCTTGGAGGGGAATTCGCTTCGATCCAATGCTAGTTTTGATCGTGGACAGTAAAGCCACAGCCCGCCCCATCGAGCGTTCATGTGTTCCGGCATAGGTTGGGACAATGTCGAACAAGAGTTTGACCTTGGTGACATCACTGGTCATAAATGTAATGGGCTCTGTAGCGATATTATCCTGGATGGGCAAATCAATCACTGTGGGTTCTCCTTTGGCTCCAGATGCTTGCACAACCACAGACAAAGCAGTGTCGAGTTGTGTCGCATGCGCATCCGCAAGTGGAATATCGTCAAGCTTGACCGCCGGTGTGTCTTTGCGAACATCCATCGAACCAAGGCTGACCAGCACCATTGTTTCATTCGTCAGATAACGATGACCAAATGTTTTCACTGGCTCAGGGACTTTCTGGACAGGACTATTAGTGTCTCGATTCAGGTTCTTTGACCTTCTCTCGTCAAGCGAATTCTGAGGGGGTGAACCAGCCCGAGAAATCCGTGCATCTGTGGGTGCCACACGAGGCGAGATTGTCGTGGGAGCAAGCTCGCACAGCCGTTCTGCAACTTGCATATGGCCACGAAGTGCAGCGTGCTCTTTCGCTGTCCAACCGGAATTATCGCATCTGTGTAGATCAGCTCCAGCAGCGGCTAGAATCTCGACTATTGAGAGATGATCATCGACACAGGCAATGAACAATGGCGTCCAGGCAAACGTCTTTTCGGGAACATCAACGTCGGCTTTGTTCGTGTTAGAGCCCTCAAGCAAAACTTTGGCACATTCGTCATAGCCGTAGCGCGCTGCCATGTGCAGGGCAGTCTCACCGCCCTCGTCCTGGTAGTTGACATCGATGTCGGCTTCAACCAGGAGCTTGACAATACCAACAAAATTTGATCGAGTCGCTAAAGACAGAACTGCTCCTGAGCGAGCACTAGACTTCCTCGACGCACGTCTTTGTTCATGTGTTCCCCGCCAATTCTCTGCCTCAAGAAGGGTTTTGGTGGTGAGGACATGCCCACCCATGACACTGAGATGCAGAGGCGCATTGCCGTCAGTGTCCTGCCAATCGGGAGAGTCTATGCCTTGTGCAACGTCGAACTGGCCCCAGTCCTGCATGTGTTTTATGACAACCTGACAAATGACTACGAAGCCATATTGAGCGGCATAATGAAGCGGAAGCCTTCCATAGGAATCACGAGCTTGAAGTGCATTGCGTTGCTCATCACGCAGCTCGTCCAGCAGATAGATGAGTAGGCGGACAGACTCGTCGTTCTCGCTAAGCAGTTGGGTTGACTCTTCTTCAGTAGTCGTACAAGGACGAGGTTGCCGGTTAGGGTCAGTAGCAGGCACTATAAAGTTTCCTGCTTCATTTGAACTTGGTTGCCGAGTTCCGTCGGCGCCAAATGTTTCGCCGCTCTTTGAACGGCCAATGTTGATGACTAGTCGGTGGACACAATTGCGTTTGTTGATGTCGTCATCTTCATCCAACGAGATGATATCCTGCAACAATCTCTTGATGCATTGTTTGGAACGGCATGAGATGGAGCGCTGAAGGAAGTTCAGCAGAACCTGCTGCATTGAAGAACTGGTGATGCCGTTGTTCGCAGCAGCTTCGGCAATCTGTTGGCCGAGGTCTTCCGCTTTGTCGTTGCGGATAGCCAAGTCTGCCGCATCGAGTAGGCCAGATGGCAGGTGTAGCGAACGGCCTGGCACTCGACCTAGGGAGCCCGCAGAATGTGTAGAGCCTGTATCATCAAAAGTCTTGATATCACCCAGTCCTGACAGCCATTCATTGACAGCCTTCATGTCCTGGTTGAGGGGCAGATTGTGCGCAAACGGCTTTGGGTTGACTTTGGAGGCCAGGTATGGCTCTTGCAAACGCACTGTCTTGATCTTCTTGTCCAGCTTCTTGGTGATTTTGTTGAAACCCCTCCGATTGACCTCTCCGTACCACTGAAGCTTTCGCATTGAGCCTCGTAGCTCAAGCAGTGCGCCCATGAGGTCTTGTGCCTCGTCTTTATCGATGCCTTCGGGCAACTGGGCGGCACGACCATAACGGCCATGCAGGATCCTAAGTCGCCGAGAAAACTCTGCGTACTTTCGGTTGTAGAAGTTGTCGACATCTTCGAGGTTGCGATCAAGAGAGAAGAAGAACTCTGTAGATTGCTGTTAGTTATCCAATCCCTGCGAGCGTTGTATGGTGTTCTCCGAATAGACGACTGGGAGTTGCTGAAGCACTTGGAAAAAGCAGTACGCAAAAAAAATAGAATAAAGGTTCATGAGCATTCAAACTGACCTGTGAGATCTGGATCCGAGCCATTTTTCGAGGCTTCAGCGGCATTCTTGATCAGCTTCTTGAGGCCTTTGTAGTTGATGTACGAGGACGCCCATTCTGGAACCTGGTTCCTAGGCAGATTATGTCCAAACTTCATTTTGGCACTCGAGTGATGGTCAGCAAGTAAGCGTTGCCAAACAAAGGCCAACGCTGAGGACTGAGGACAGCTCTACAAGCTGTTGCGAATTGACCGCGCACCAGGAGGGGCAGCAAAGGCTAAGAAATATAGTGGCAGCAATGGAATGACGGGTAAGACAGATAACAAAGGGCGGATAGCATGCGACCGGCGCAGTCAACGCGTTAATGATGGACTCTTTAGGGTGTGCTCGAGGGGACCATTCTCATTGGAGGAGACGGGGCCCGATCAAATCGCGCCTGCAGCATGGTTAAACGGACTGTCAAAAAGAAAGGGAAAGCCGCAGCTCGAGGGCAAGGGAAAGTACACTGTAGCGGCAGAATCGCTGGGCAGTGTTGTCGGAGTGCGAAAAGGAAGCTGTTGTAGGTGTAGTATGTGTATGCGCAAGCAAAAGAATATGGCTGAGCCGGAGCTGGTCGAGGGAGTGGTTCGTGCGCCGTCAGGGTCTGCGATGACGTGTGAGGGTGGAGTTGAGATGGTTTCGCTCTGTTCTAAGCTTTTTCCTCGCGCGCCGCAAGCAGCCGCAGGGCCATTGATGAATTTATACTCTTCTCCCAGGCTTCTGTTTGCTGCTGGAAACTGGGTCCCCCCCCTACAGCTGCCGCATCATAGTGC